TATACCACGCTGTTGGGAGCTCACGCACCTGTCCTACTTCGGCCGTGACTCGGAGCACCACCGATCCCTCCGCCGTGAACTCCTCCGACAGCCGCCGGCAATCGGAGACCGCGTGGTAGACGCTCCCGACGCTGCCCACCGGGGCCGTGATGATCAGCCCCAGCACCGGCGTTCGCGTTTCCCTGCAGCACAAACCGAACCGACGAGATCGGGAAGAAACAAAAGGGGGGCCGCGGAGTAAATTCGCCATGCAAAAAGATCGTGGCAACGGAGTGTCTCTCGCCACAGAAAGCCCACAAAACAACAAAAAAGGGTGCGGGGAGGGGCGGGGGTGGGATCTCTAACTAATCGGCAAAGCAACCACGGCCACGGTAACTCCTCGGCCGAGCAGCCCGCCCTCCGAAGCGGCTCACTATTGTCCGGCGAATAGACACCACAAACAAGGTAGACCAAAAAAAGAAAAAAAAGGATGCGGGGGGGGGGGGAATCTATCCAAATGGCAAAACAACCAAGGCCGACCCTCGCATGTTCATACTGTAGAACCTCGAGACAACGGAGTCCCTACACCTGAAGAAGTCCCCCGCCCCCCCCCGTAGAAGATAAGTCTAGACACCCACACTTGGGGCATCGCGAACTGACGGATACTTCCACCGAGACCTTCGGCGCGCTCCCGGCGTAATAAACCGCTGCCTGGAACGTGGTCCACCCGTCTTTGACTTCTGCTTGTGCAACCGAGGGCCCCCAGTTGCTCTCACGAGCATCGTGTGCCGTGCAAAAAAAATGGAACAGTTGTAGATCGGGCGGCCCATCCCACTCTCCTGCCGCTGCAAACGAAAACAAGAGACACTCGCACATCCAACTGAAGGGAAGAACGGCCGGACCCGTCTGCCTGCCCTGTCCGAGTAACCGCTCCACCCCCTTGACGGCCACGTCGCGCTAAATACCTCTCAGCCGCTTGTAGGCATTGCCTCGACGCCCCGCCGTAGGCTCGGCACAACCCGCCGGTTCCCAGCTTGATGCCGCCCGAATATCGTGTGACCACCACCATCACCTTTCGGAACGGCAGCATTCGACGGTAACCGTGCGTGATGCGTACAGCAATGTCGGCAGTGCTGTGGAAAAGGTAAATGTCCGTGCCACAACCACAAAACGGGAGTGCGCTGTCCCATAGAGATTTTCTGGGTCCCAACTACACCGGCGTGGTCGCTGGATGTCATTGCACCTTGCTCAGACGGACTAAGTAGGTCTGCGTTGCCTAATAAGAAAACCAAACCCGGGGATACATACATGGGAGCATCCCCACAATCTCCGCTAGCGTGTGCGGAAGGAATGATGAATGACAGGCCCGGATGCGACTGACACGATCCAGGGAAAGACACGGAGTGGCAGAGGCTCGCGAGCGTAATTTTTTTCGAGCACATGCTTCTTTGAAAGCGATGGCGCCTAGAGTGGTCAACACACTGACGAAGAGCTGGCTCGGAAGAGCCGGGAGAGTGACACGAGGGGCAGGGCGAGGCGGAGACAATCATCACGGGCAAAGAGTCATGCTCCTGCCATGTCGAAAAACACAAAACAAAGAGTTTGGTGCTTACCGACGCAGAGAGATCACTTCACCCACCAAACTGCGTTTTCTTTTGTGTTCCTTCCGTCCTTACGCATCTGTTCAAAACTACCCCCTCAAAAAAGCGCGAGAGAACCAGGAGCAAAATACGATTCCCTCGGGGGGTGCCGTTTTGCAAGTCGCGCACAGGGGGGAGGGGGGGCACACCCCTACTTCGTGTTCGCAGCGGGAAAGAAGCCAAGAAAACGACTGCATCACCTCGCTCACGCCCTCGCTCTCGATGCCCCCCAGGATGGGCTGTCCGGCCGTGCCGCCTTGCGAGACCATGATCGGGGGGGGGCGAGGGCGGGGTGAACCTCAGTGTCGCGGGGCATGGCTCTCAACAATGCACCCAGGTCTTGCATCAAACATCAGGGAAAAGCGCAGATCCACCTGATGGAGGACCGGAAACGCCGTATTCATGCAGCAGCACCTAGATCGCGTATTGTGATTGTTCGAAGTGGCCCACCTGGCTCGCCGTCGTCGCTGAAACGGTGGTCGTCCCCCAGCCCTCGCCAAGCCCAGCAGCTGTGTCTAGCTTTAGGGTGCTCCTTCAGCACCCTTCGTGCGCGATAGATGCATACAGCAGCAGAGCAGCAGCAGAGCACGCACGGCATGTAGGTTTATTACGCCGAGGCACTCGAGTTGCTGTTGGGTGGACGGCGTTGGTTGGCAGTGGTGTCATTGCGTCGGCGAGAGGTTGAAAGATCACACGATGGTATTGTCTGCTACACCCATACGTCGGAGTTCATGATGACTCCCCTACCCCTACCCCCTACCCCGACTCTGTTTTACCTCCCCCTTTCGTCTCTCCGATCTCTCTCCGATTCTTGTCTTCTTGCTTTCTCTCTCTCTCTCTCCCTCCCCCGTCCCCCCCCCCATATTTTTCACCATCCTGTCCTTGAAACACTGAACTCGAAGAGAGTCGTTAGTCCGACGTCGTCTCCAACGCTCTGCTCAGGCCGGCGTAACACACACATCCAGCCAGCAGGCGGTGCGTATCGCTCACAACATCAACATATCAAAAGAAAAAAAAGGAACCGTTAAGATCACCCTCACCTTCCGAGCAGAGCCTTGCCTTCCTCGAAGGTGGCCGCCGGCCCACAGCGCCCGATGAAGCGGCTCTTCTTTATCGTCTCCTCGGTCTCCGACTCGCCTGCGCGAGGCGGCGGCGGTCGTGACGATCTCCCGGGTTTGGACGTTTGTGGAGTAGGAAGTACGATCGAACAACAACGCGCGCATCACGTGTACGCACAACACACATGTAAATCGAGAGGTGACTGTATCATGTAGACGACAAAGTAAGGGTCGTCTTCGGCTTACCGTCAGTTGTGATTTGCCCCGCCAACAACCAAGAGCAGTTGAACACTCACCGCAACAACCACGTTCGTGCCTCTACCGTACCGTACCACGTTCGTGCCTCTACCGTACCGTACCACGATTGTGCGACCGCGGGTTCGAGAACAGGGCGTGCAGATACATACCTGTCTTAAATTACATGTGTAGTACACACTACCGTGCTCGTGCTCGTGCTTTGAACCTTGCTGCAGTAGAAGTATATCTATTCTGGCAGAAGCTCAAAGGAGAACACTTCAGATATACCTCTCTTCTACAACAATAGTAGTAGCCCTGAACGTTTCGGACCTCACCGGTACCTCCGCCGTGTGGTGGAAACTTCGAAACAGAGGTCATCGTTGTCTGAAACAGTATCTACGTAGAACGCGCCCCCACTCTTGAGAAAGTGGGAGTCGACGGATTGTTCGATGTTGACGTACTATTATATACATGGGAATGTACCTTGCCAGACTCAACCCACACTAATAATGTTTCCCTAATGGTTTCGACGTTCATCATCAAACACGGAGAAAGGGCTGCACGAAACAAGCGTTGGTGGCGGAGCATTCTTGGACTGAAAGCAAACAATAGAGCTTCATGATGTCCTTCATGATGTCCCAGGGAACAAATAAGGATAAGAGAGTAATATGCATACCATTTACAACAGACCAGCGGTAAGCCCGCGTGGCGCATTCTAATTCCATCCAAACAGCAATAGTCTAGACTGGAGACCGCTGCACCTCCCTGTATATCCTGTGTTCCTGTGGACCACTGCCATAGGCTGTAGGCCATCGGGAGGGAGGTTGGATTCTTTTGATTAGACAGAACAACCGAGTTTGTCTCTGGACCATGTTTACTTCGTCGGACACAGCACCAGTTAGACTACAAGCCAGACAGAGGCGCCGAAAGGGTACAACACCACAGCAGTACTGTACACTGGTACTGTCTCCGTGGTACGTGAGTAGCAGCAGTGCTGCTGTACAAGTATTAGTATTTGTAGGTCAAACGGACGGAGGGAAAACATGCAACTTCTAGGGCTACAAGTAGTACACATCATATGCATTATACAGGTGCCGAAGAGAGACTCACCACAAACGGTAACAATCTGCTCCTGATCAGCAGGCGAAGAAGAGGAGGAAGCTTCCGCCGACGTCGCCGCAGTAGCATCTAACATGCCGCAACCGCTGTTCCTCCTACGGGTGTGTCGCCTGACAGACGACACCGCCTGCGTAATTGAAGTTGCTCGTCGTGCGGAGCATGATGCTGCTGTGGTGCCTCCGCTGGCGGTGTGCATTTTCACCTGCGAGAGGGCAGCGCCCCCGCTATTTCTAACGACCGCAGCACTGAACATAGACGCACACAGCAGGAGGCGCATGGCTTGCTCTCTTGCCCGTAGGCCTGCAGGCATCGTGCGGCGGGACGTGTATTGTATACATCATCTCGGCCCAAACCCGATTCTGCGCGCGCGGGGGGATGTGGGAGGGCTGTCCCCAATGGCAGGTGTAAGGCCTCCAGCGGTTTTCACTAGCATTTTTGTGACCACGGGCCGAGTCTTTGCTAGATTTTGGGATTAGCAACTGACACGAGTTTAATGTGAAGAAAAAAAAAAAATAAACTAGTATTCATCTGATGAATCAACCATCAATTGCGGGGCAACATTTCGATGTCGATACCAACCAACTCTATTTTCCCATATAAAAAAAAAAAGTAGCGCGGCTTGTCAACTGTCAACCGTCAACTCATCAAGCGGCGGCGGCCCGCGTGTGTGTGTGAAATAAACCGAGGTTTGCAATTAACGCGCCCTCATTGTCTGCGCGGCAAATATCGCCGGCAGCGTGTATCAGTTTGGGGGGGGGGACAGCCTCTCATCTCTATATCTCTCTCTCTGTGTCTCCAAGGGCAGCGAGGGTGTGCGTGGTGCGGCTCCGAGGTCTTCGTCGTGTGTGTTTTTGTTCTCGTTTTGTGTTCTGTCCTCCTGCTTTGGTGGGCGGCAGGGGCAAAAAAGAGGGCCAGGGAAAATATACCTCATCACAGCTCTCCCTCTTCGCGACGAGGAAGGACCGTGGTCCGAACCGGACCTCTGACGGCTCTCCAGGATTTGTCTGACTGCTGCTGCTTGTCTGTCTTCCCGCGTCGTGGCGGGAGGGGGGGGCAGCGCGGCGCGAGCCCGCGGGGACATGCAGAGGGCGCTGGGCTCGGTGGCGCCGGGGCACCAGCAGCACCACTTTTCGCTCTTTTCCCTCCTGCGTCTGCTGTTTGCGGCTGTCTGCGGCGCGGAGGCGAGCACGGCCGGGGCCTCTCGGATAGCGGGAAGCAGCAGCCATGGCGGCAGGACCGCGAGATGGACCGCGTGGCCTGTCGTAGCAGCGGCAGCAGACGGCGGGAGCAGATGTGCAGCGGTGTGCGGGGAAGCAGGGAGGAGAAGAGAGGAGGGAGGCCATGGGGGTGGCATTCAAAGAACGGGGGAGGAGGAGGAGCAGGAGTGTGGGGTGGACCTCGAGTTCTCTGGGTTCGGGGAGCATGCCAGAGTGCTCGGGGTGGAGCTGGACGTGGGGCTCGGTGCTACCATCCCGTCGGAGACGCTGCGAGTCTTCGGCTTGGACGAGGGTGTAGAGTTCAACTACCGCGTCTACCAGCAGCGGCGGTGAGTGGGAAAGCCCTCCGTGAGAGATCCATCTCTAACAAAAGGCAGCAAGCGAGAGAGAACATAGATAGACTAGTAGGATGGCTCTATCTATGCCGTGTATATTCCGTTTGATTGCCGTCATGTATGTGCTCACTCACGCGTTATTGTTCCCTCTGAATCCTGCTCCAAAACCACCGAGGCAACATT